GCAGAGACAGGCCAGGCAGGAGGCTCAGCCAGGGTGCAGAGGGGCTGTGGGTGACTACGAGGAGGTGACAGCAGGGGAGGTGGTGACAGGTTCAGCCTTGGGCCCTCGTTTTCTCCCCATCCCAGGACATCTCAATGACAGGTGGGTGAGACAAGGCAAGTGACACAGGTGAAGGAGCAGGTGTAGAAAAGCCAGGCCGGGTAGAAGGACCTGGGTGTCACGACCAGCAAAGATGAATGACAGGACAGGGACCCTCCCATGAACAGTGGAGGCCCAGTGACGCCTCGAGGAGGTGAGGAGGCCCCTCGGCTGCCCCTCTCCAGAGCTAAGGAACACCTTGAACAGACCTGGCCCCAGGAAAAGCGATTGAATTGCGAATTGATTGAAGTTTGCCTCCTGCCCATCGGAAGGCCTTGTATTCATTTCCGGGGCTGCTCTGGCGTCCCCACATGCCCAGGGGCCTGACACAGCAGGGAAATCTACTCTATGCATTCTGGGAGGCCAGAGTCCAAAATCAACGTGTCAGCAGTGCTGTGTGCTCCTGCGGCAGCTCTCCCAGGGGAGGATGCTTCCTGCCCTTCCTGTTTCTAGCAGTGGCCTGTGCCTTGGTGGCTCTGGCATTGTAGACACATCTCTCCAATCTTTGTGTCTGTCTCCTCACTTGTCGACCTCCGTTCCCACATGTCCTCCCCTGTGTGTGTGTCTGTGTCCAAATCCCCTCTTATAAAGGACACCGGTCATTGGATTTAGGGCCACTCTGCTGCGTGGGACCTCATCTTAAATAGTCACGTCATTCTGTTTTCCAGATAAAGTCGCATTCCCAGAGGCAGAGAAGGATGTAAAGCAACTGTTTGAGCAGTTATATTCTCTCTGAGCTCAAAGAGAGGTAAGTGGATAAATCAGCTTGACATTCAATCTCCATTGAATCCAGAGGTGCTTGGCCTCCCAGGGTCTGATTATTAAATGACGCTAATCAGGATTTGAACCGAGTCACCTTGCTGTGAAAAGTATCCTTGTAACCCTGACACCATTATGCTCAGGTCTAAGGTAGGTTCCTGTTGAACTGGACCCGGACATGGAGGAAGGTGTGTCATTCTGGAGTGGTTGCCCAGGATCACCTGGACCTGGCTCTGCTTCCAATGAAATACAGATGTGTTAGCTACTGCTGCATAACAAATGCCCAAAGTTGAGTGAAAGCCTGACAATAAACTTGTGTATGGAGTCTCTCACACGAGGGGCTCCGGTAGTCAGGAATCTGGAGGTGGCTTTTTTTGCCAGGTCATGCGTTGGGTGGCTGATACATAGCTGTTCCAGAGGCGCCTGGGTGGCTCAGTGGGTTGGCCAGCTTTCCAGCTTTCAGGTCACGATCCGCGCCCAGTCTGTGAGTTCAGGCAGCAGCCGGGACTCTGTGCTGGCGACTTTCAGCCTGGAGCCTGCTTTGGATTCTGTGTCTCCCTCTCTCTCTGCCCCTCCCCTGCTCACGCTCTGTCTCTGTCTCAAAAATAAATAAAAACATTAAAAAAAAATAGCTGTTCCAGCTTCCCTGCCCCCCCCACTCCCCGATGAACATGAGTCTGCCATCCAGTCATTTGAAAAAATCTCAGTGAGGCCCCATCACTTTCCTCGTCCCCTAATCTACTCGACCCAGTGCTTTGTTGTTAAGTTAATTCTTCTTTTGTCCTGGCAGAAGCTGGCCCCTAAGGGTGACTGAGTGAATGCCATCCGTCCACATACCTTTTTCGTGTTCTTCTCCCTCGGGATGTGGTGTCTCAGTTGTGGGGTCCAAGGTGACTTCACCTCCCCGCTCCTGAACATACTTCCCCCATTGGGGAGGCCGTGCTGAAACTGTCAGAGGACTTGGGGAGGGTGTGACCCGAATGAGGCTATATCACCGCTTCCTGTGACGTGGGGCAGAGACTCCAGCCAGCTCTTGGAGGTAAGATGAAGTGTAACCCAGGCTGGTTAATTGGCCTTGGAAGGCTGCTGAGGAGCTTCCAGCGAATCGCGCGTGTGATTGTGAATACCAGTGACGTCCTCCCAGTGAAGGCAGCAGCCATGTCCCGGAGAAGACCCCACCCCCAAGGCAGGGAGAGGCTGCATTCTCCCGGAGGGGCCAGTTCCTTGCCTTTAGGAGGGTGGGGAAAGGGGAGGTGGATCCTACTAGGCCCCTGGGTCATTCATGTGAACTTGTGGTCTCTGGCTCCCTCTGCTGGCAGATATTTTATTACAGCGCTGTTGCCGCAGCGTTTCACGCACCGTGGTGCCAGCTTGCAGCCGCGTAAATTGTAAAGTTTATTCAGCGCACAGCCATCACCACAACCGAACCTTGAATTTCCGTCACCTCAGAAGGGTCTTTCTGGTCCATTTTTAAACCCCTCCCCCCCCATTCCCTAGCTTTCTGTCCTCCAGGTATCTCCTTTCCTAAATGTCATATAAATGGGCTTATAAATATGTGTCTTTTGTATCTGTCCCTTCACATCGCAGGTAAGTTTTTTGAGGTTCATCTACGTTTTGTGGATCGGCGTCTCGTGTGCCTTGTCGTTGCCTTACAGGCATTCAGCTGGAGTGGGCCGGACCCCATGTGTTTTACCCAGCCCTTGATGGTGGTTTCAAGTTTGGGTGATCACCCGAATCGGCTACCTAGAACATCCGTGCCATGTCTTGTGTTGGAATTTGATTTCATCTCTCTTCGGTGGATCCTCTGGGGTTGAATGGTAGGTATGATAGTGTCTCTTAACTTTTCTGGAAACTTCCAGGAGCTTTCTTCGATGCTTTGCACCATTCTGCATTTCCACCAGCTGTGTGTGAGGCCCAGAAGGCTCCCATTCTCACAGTGGGGAAACTTTTCAGTAGGGGATTCCCGGACCAGGGACTTCTTCCTTCTCAGAAGGGTCTCTGGCGTGCGGCCAGGCAGCTTGCCCTCATCTGGCTGCCGGGCGATGTTGACTTTCCATTCTGCCCCCATCCTCTTGAGATTGGGCCAGACTCAGAGTCCAGGTAGATGGAATGCCCTTGCAGTGGGTCCTTGTGGTAGACCTGTGCCTTCAGTTTGTCTCTGTTTATCCATCTTTCTGTATTATTTTGCCTATGGATGCTTTTTTAAAATGTCCCAGGGGGCAGCCAGTGGCTCGGTTGGCGTCTGACTTGGCAGCTTTGGCTCAGGTCCATGATCTCCGCGGTTCTTGAGTTTAGGGGCTCTCTTTGACAGCGTGGAGCCTGCCGGAATCTCTCTCTCCCTCTCTCTCTGCCCTCCCATGAGTCGCCCCCACCTCTCTCTCTCTCAAAATAAATAAAATAACCTCTAAAATAAAGTAAAATAAAGTGTCCCACCAAAGAACTACACTGGTGCATTAGCTACCACACAAAACAGACCTCAAGGTTTCAAATGAAGAATTCCATCACCTGCTGGGTCCTCCTGGGTGGGATTCTGACATCAACCATGTTACTTTACCCTTTCCTGGTGTTTGCCTACATATCTTTAGTCGGTGGTTCTCAAGCTGCTGGGCATGACGAGCATCTGTGGGGGAGAGGCTGGAAACACAGATCACCCCAGCCTCAGTTTCAATGCGGGAATCTGGTGGGTGGTGGTGGGGGGTCCACATTGTAGTTTGAGTAAGCTCCCAAGGGACCTACCTCGTTACAGCTGGCTGAGCCCTGCTGGGAACGAAGCTCTCTCTCCATGGCTTTGCGGTGGGCGTGGTGGCTCCATGTGACGGCCTTGAGGCTTAGCTGCGTCGCACCCAGCCCTATCTCCCCATCCGGCTTCCCTTCCCCCACCGTCAAGTTCAGTTCCGTCGTCGACTAGGGGCCTGCAAGCTGTTACTGTGATGATGGTAAGTGCTGCTATCTACGACCTCTTTGGTACTGCCGTGGCGACAAGCGGGCTGAGTGGTTGAGGCAACTGGGGGGGTTCAGCCGGTGAGAACCCGACTGACTGATTTCCGTTCAGGTCATGACCTCTGCACGGTGGTTCGTGAGTTCAAGCCTGCGACTCTCGCTGACAGCTCAGAGCCTGCTTGGGAGTTCCCTTCTGTGTCTCTGCCCCTCCTGCTCACAGTCTCTCTCTCTCAAAATAAATAAATACATAAACGTTTAAAAAAAAAAAAAAAAAGGAAACATGTGCTCATGGAGACGAGGAAATGGATACTAATTTTCTTTAAATTAAATTAATTAAAGTTTAGATTTTAAAAGCGATGCTTGATTAGGGGTGACTAAGCCTCCGGTGCAACGGGATGTGAGGACCCGAAAGTGGTGGACGGTGCTGGTCAGCCAGGATGATAAGAGAAAGTGTTCTGTTTAGGACAACTGAGGGGGCGATCTGGGTGTGCAAATCTAATTTTCTCGGCAAATTTTGACATCTCGGTGGGGTCAGGATTTTGCGGCTTAGTGCATTCGGCGAACTTTGAAATTGTCAAGCACAGAATTTGAAGAAGTCCTATGCTGCGGAAAAAGGTGGGATGCTCCTGGATGCTTTTTCCTTACGATTACATTTGAAAGGAATGCGACTTCAGACAAATTGGGGTAAATATACTGTTAGAGGTAATTTACTTTTTTCTTCCTTTTAAAAAAACATTATTAGAAAAATTTCAACATACGCCTTCACCCCTGATTTTCATGGCGTCACTGCCCTCTAGATGACCTGTTATCAACCTGCTCTCCTTCTTTGCGTTTCTGGCTCATCGTTTATTTGGTAACGACTTTTTGAGCTATTCCCATGCCACGCAACTGACCTATTTCAAGTGTAGATTTCCGTGTTTGTTTGAAGTATGGGGTTGTGCAATCATTATGTACAACTAATTGTGGCATTTATTCTGTCAAAAAACAGTCTCCATCGGTCCCTTCCCCACACTCCTCCCATTTATTACGACCCCTTCCGTCCGTGGATGGGGCTGTTGTCAGGCGTTCCACTACGCGTGGCCTCTCCTTATCAGCGTGGCCTCTCGCGTCTGGTTCCCCTCCTCGCGGCGTCAGCGTGTTTGGGGTTTGTCCAGCGAGTGACGATGAATGCCACCATCTCCTGCTCGGCCGAGGAGGGCGTCTTGGCGTCTTGTGATGAACCGCGGTCCTCTAATGGGCGTCTTGGCGTCGCCGTGAACCGCGTCCTCTGTGGGCGTCGCCTGCGATGGAATACACCGTGAGGCGTCTTTATGAACCGCGATTAGTCTGTGGGTGTCTTGGCAAATGGACGTAATGTGTTCCAGCGTTACGCTGTTGGCGTACCACTTAAGTTGTTCTGATAATATTTAGTTGCCTTTTTCATCCTGTTCTTCCTCCCCTTACAATATATTCTTAACCAGCGAAGCGGAAAATGGTTCAAACATTGAGTGAACTCCTGTCCTCACAGCTTCTTCCCCGCCCTCCGCCAAAAGCCAAAGTCTTCAGGTGGCTTCGAAGAACTGCAGGGGCCTTTGCAGTTACAATCCCTTCTGATTAATCGGGACCACAGCCCTTTACTCAGCCCCTGAACCTTCCTGCCATTCTCTCACAGGCGACCACAGGACTTTTTGCACCGGCTGTCTGCCTGGAACAGTCTTCTCGTGACTGTGTTGTGACTCATTCAGTACTTCGGTGCTGCTCCCGGTCACCTCTTGAGACCTTCCCTGACCCCACCTACATGAAACAGCACCCTACCTCTGCCCAGAAGCTGGCTTCCCAGTCCTTTTACCGTGTTTTCTTTTGTTCACACACGGCTTTTCGCCCATTGGACAGCCGTTATATTAGTTTGGAAACCCCAGGGCTGGGATCATTGGAAACAATTCAAGCCCCATACGATGGGTGCTTCTTGCCTGGGGCAGGCTCTGCTTAGGGTCCATCACCTTGTGCCCCGAGCCTCCCATTTGCCAGTGGGCTCTTAATGGTATTCTACGTAAGCCAGGCTTCCTTTCCCCACTGCCTGTGAATCTGTTTATTTCAAGGAGCCCCATTTTGCAAAATGACACCTTTTTTTTTTTATATTCATTATTCTCTGTAGTGTGTTGAGTAATGGTCTGAGATTTGTGAACTTTTCAAGCTGGCTTCCGTGCCTGGTGACACACCCCATCTTTTGTTTTGTGGGTGCCTTACAAGCTCAGGTTGCCCTTAACTAGATGGCCCAGGCTCCTGCCCCTCTCCTGCCCCAGCACTTGAGATCATCCTTGCAAACATGCAGATTTCTGAGCCCAAGCACAGTGGGAGGGAGTGGAAATTAGGGCTCCTAGGAGACTGAGCCTCTTTTAACTTCTGCTAGGGAAACATGCAATTGGTGGCTCAGATTGGTTATCTGACAGGTTCTGGTCATGATCTCCACGATTAGGTGAGTTCGAGCCCCGTTGGGCTCTGTATGCTGACCTTCCGGAGCCTGGAGCCACCACTGCCTAGATTCTGTGTCTCCCTCTCTCTGACAGCCTCCCCATTCATGCTCTGTCTCTCTGTCTCAAAAATAAATAAACATTAAAGAATAAAAATAAATTAAAAGCTTCCTGCTGAATAGGGCAGCCTGGTGAAGTGGGTATGAGTATAAAGGACACAGGATATCCTCGTGCATTACTGTCACAAATATTCTGTATCTCTTGGCTGTGGCCATGAACCTACCCACCAGTGATATTACACACCTGCCAGCAGCCCTTTACTGCAGAGAAGGAATGTCTGCCTGAGATGAAACCCGGACTGTCAATATCCATTGAACTCCAGTTTTGCATTGCCACTAGACAAAGCTGAGAAGGAAAAGTAAACTAGAGGGGTCTCTCTGTATATTTCTTTTTTTTTTTTAAAATTTTTTCAACGTTTTATTTATTTTGGGAGAAGAGACAAACATGAGCAGGCGAGCAGAGAGAGGGGAGACACAAGAATGGAAACAGGCTCAGGCTCAGGCCATATTAAGCCCGGCAGCGAGAACTCAGGCTCCCGGTTGGCAGATGTGACCTGGCTAGTGGACTTAACCGACTGCATACAAATGGGACCACTGTTTTCAACTGCACATAAGCTGATACACTACGATCTGGAAGGAGTAATAAGACCAGTTATATTCTCGACAAATGCAACAATGAAACCAGAGCTGGCATGAGCAAAAGAGCAAAGAAAATGGTTTATTAAAATAGCTCCTCTTTACTCCCTGATCATTAGCAGCTTTCTATATACAGGATAATTCAGAATAGGAAACTTACTTTTGGGTAAATTTCCATTTTGATATCATTTCAAACTTAGGAAAAGTTGCAAGAATAGTACCAAGATTTAAATTGTATATGTGTGTATTATGGAGTGTTGTGCATGTGTGTGCACACATGTATTATTAATATGCTCGTGTATACTTTTTGTGTGTGTACATGTATAACATGTGTATACACATATACAACTTATATTTCTCTTCTTAACTCAAAAAAGAGAGTGAATTCTTGGTCTGTGCCTTGCTCAAATACTTCAGTGAATAGGGAGTTTTTTTGAGGTGAAAAGAGAGCACTCTTGTGTCACCTCCACTCGGAAAATTCATATATTTAAAATAACCACTTTTCATTATGCTTTGCAAAATATTTTTCTCTTGTCCTCCTGGTTTGCTTTAAAGTGGCTTTCCAGGAACCTCTCTCTCTCTCTCTTTGGGGATC